GGCTTTGCTTTAAACAAAAACTTACGTCGGGGGGAGGGGGGGTTACACGCCGATTCACTTGCAGCTACTATGACCGCAGTGTTCATCTATAATTAAATTACAAAGGAAATTCAGCTCACGGACACCCCCCCCCCTTTTTCCCGATACTTTTTTCATGGGGCGAGAACCATTATGTTGAGACACTGCACACTGAATTCGAAAATTAGATCGGTAACATCAAAAAGATCGGCCAACCTTTGGAATAGAACGTTGCCGTTAAAAATACCCTCCTCCGCCCAAACCTTTGTTTAACATCAATATTTATCCCTTCAATCAGAGGTGTAGCGAGAGGGGGGCAGGGGGGGCAGAGGTCCCCGGGCGCCAGCAAGTAAAGGGTCGCCAAAATGTGCTTTGATATTATATTATTGGTAAAAATAAAGGGTTTCAGATTTGAAAAAAAAAAAAAAAAAGAAAAAGGGGTGCTTAAAAATGGATCTTGTCCCCGGGCGCGAATCTTGTCCCCCGGGTGCCAAACACCATCGCTACGCCTCTCCCTTCAATTCAAAATCGCACGTCCCAACGGTGAGCTGCAACACTCCGGTTTGAAAACCGCTGCACTGCGATTTAAGGGATTTTTTCATTTGAAATTACTCTTGACATGTCAAAATCATTTATTGACCTTGAGTTGTAGTTGCAGGCCAGGGTACCCAGGAAACGGTCACAGCATGCACACACATAAATAATCCTAATAGTATAAAAGTTTTAATCTGATTTGGAAAATATATCAGCCACTTCGTATGAATGTATACGTTTAATATCGTGTTTAAGTTAGAATTTTCTATGATTTGCCCACGTGTCAACTAATGGGAAAAAGGGTTTTTGGGGGGGGGGGCATATTGTTCAAATTAGATACGTCGGCTTAGTTGAATACGTTGTAAGAATATTAAATAATTTTCTGGCAGCAGTGAAGGTGTGATTTGTGTGAGTTGAGAGAGAGAGAGAGAGAGAGAGAGAGAGAGAGA